ACGCAGGGAATCATTATGGATTTTTAAGGAACTTATGGAATCGAGAATACATCTGAGGTTGCTCAAATACATCTCCAATTGCTGGCAGGTAACACAGAACACAGGACACAAAAGTACACTTTCTATGAAATTTAAAATTAACAGCTGTGTACTCTGCATTATTCCCCAGCTAAGCTTAAAAATAATTTTGTGAATGATAAGACTATAATGAGGACTAAGGCCTTAAACTTTTCTTCCAACCAGTGGCAAACTCAATATGATTATTTTAAAAAGGAAAAAAAAAAAATAATCAAATTTCAAGGCTTACCTTTCAGAGGAGGAGCCAATTTAAATCCATGGTTTTTTAACTGATCTAGCACTGCCTCCTTGTTCTCTTCTCTTCCCCAAAAGCTCATTTGTACGGGCATGGTAAAGGCATTTTTTGCTCCATAAGGGACAACCCTGATAAAAAGCAGGAAAAAAAAAAAACAGCAGTAATCTTTTAATTGTTTAGATTTTTAGAATAAACCTTTTTATTTATTCAGCAAGAGTTGCTCCCAAAGTGTGTATTTTTACTGAAACACACAATGTTCCAGATAGGTGTTAGTACTCATACTGTGTAAATCTTTTATACAAACCACCACATGCAGTTAATTTAAGAGTTTCACAAAAATCTTTAGGGAATTTGCTCTCATTGTCTCTACATTTATCATTTATGGGAAAGAATGAGCTGTATGCAAGTAGTTCAACTGAATAACAGTCTGAAAACATGTACCTTTATCTTATTATGAAGAGCTGTCATTCCTGTCCAAAGAAAACACTTACAGTTTTCAAAATTTGCTAGTGTAGCAACCAAAAAAAAAAGTTTCCATTACTTAAATTTATTAAACCAAAAGCATAATCTTCACACTTACCCTTCAATTAATGCTAGTTTGTTATCCATAATGCCTGCCAATGCTGCTGCTAGTTCTTTTTTTATATGGCCCACCTGGTCTCCATTCACATTATTTACTTTCACTGCATTTTTATCATAAGGATTATTGGGCTCTCTCTGAAGTGCAACCATTTCATTGTTATTAACCTAACAAAGCAAAACAAAGAAACACCAGAACACATCCATTTAGTTGCAGATTATTGGCAGAAATATCTAATATACATTTACTTAAATATTGTGAAGCTTAAAGATTAATTTGGTATTGCATTCTGTTCAGTCAGTCTACAAAAGCATTACAAAAGAGCTAGCTGATAGATGTCAACAATTTCAAAAGTATTCCTAAAAGCAAGAACTACCTTCAACTGCTAACGCATTTTGTAAGGGAACAAACATCCCTTCTTGTCCATGTAAACAGTTGAAAGACCTACCTAATTTCTTGTTTTCTGTCACTTTTCTTTTGCATTATGGGGGTGAGCAGACCTACCAAACAACTAAACCAGATTTGAAAGCTTGCTACCGTAACTAAATTTCAAAATAAAGCTTTAGATTAAGTACTTCCCATGAAGAATGACAAATACATCAAGTTAAAAAAAAAATAAAATCTATTAATATTATACTTGGTCAAGAGTTTGAGGAATTTTTAAAATTTAATTAAACACACGTTTTCCAAAGCTGCCAACAACTTTTTCTTTGGCTTTATTATGCACTTACAATCCCCGTGTAGTATCGTAATCCAACAACACTTCCTCGCAAAGTTCCATATAAGATAGCCGAGTCTGTATCATCCTCTGCTCCAGAAGTGTCACCTACAGAGAGAATGTCTTCCAACCCAAGACTGGAGTAAAAGTCAGAAGATGGAAAACGGGAATAGTTTCTCTCTCTTCTGGAGATGTTCTGTTGAGAGCATCCTCTTGCAGAATCTCTGCAGAAAGTAAGTGTGAAATACTGGACAATTACTTGAGTAATAGAACTATTATTTCCTCAAACTATTTTACCACTTGATATAAAGCTACCTATAAGCCCCAGATGTACACCTTTATTCAGACAATATCTACCTGGAAACATTTAAAAGTTTCATATTAGGAGAAAACTTTGTCTGATGTTTTTTAATTCCCAATTAGTCAGTTTAAGTCAATTACAATAAAGAGCTCACTAGTGACTAAACTACAGTATTTGTGCATTCTGCCCTACCTTCCCTCAGAGGATTATCTTTGTCAACAACATTAAGAATTCTCCAGAATTAGTTATATGTCAAATTATACCTAGCACAGCAAAATTTCCATATATTTTCCTAATGCTGGTTTTCCTCAACTGAAGTTAAAATCCCCTGTTTGTAACTGATTAACTCTGTGTAATTTCATGCCTGTATCCACAAAAGCTGAAATGCTAAACCAGCTGTTCCCTATGTATTTATTAAGCTTACCATCACACCTTGACATCTGTTATTACCACTTTATAACAGGCATTAATCAGCTACTCCAACGTGACCCAGGTAATTATGCTGTGTATCTTGGTCAGCCCAGTGCCCCTTTGGTGGGGAAAGAGGTATAACTGGCCTCATGGCACAGAGCAAGCTCTGGCCACACATTTGAGGCACGATGGAGTGAAGATCCACATACTAACAATCGTTTTAATCAAATACTACCTAACAATAAAATCTCACTACAAGTTTCAGCGGATGCCTAATAATCATGACCTTTGGTATATCCCAAAATTACCTCACTGTGGCACTGAAATAATTTAAGAGTACTGCCAATTACTGCTTCCATACAACAGTTACTCACAGCTCGGCATAATGAGCCTTGGTTTCTTTTGCAAATGATATCTAAAGCTACTGTATAACCGGAATTCCGTTTCCTCTGACAGAACGAAGGAGATCCTGTGCTCCGAGCCCGCAGCAGCGGAACCAGCCAGGGGTTAGCCGGCCGCCATTTTGCCGCTGCCCTGCCGAGGGGACCCTGCCCGAACGCCCGAGCCGCGCTAGCAACCTTGGCACCAGCACCGACAAGGACAGGGCGGCGGGGGCTCCGAGTTTCTACGCTAGACACCTCAGCCCGCCCCGTCCGCAGGGTATGGCACGGAGCGGCCGAGCGCAGGCAGGGCCCGGCGCGGTACGGACTGGCCCGGCGCGGCACAGGTACAGACCAGCAGTGACCAGCCCGGTACAGGATAAGGCTGGGCAGGACCGGCGCGTCAATCCCCCCCTCACCCCCGCCTCACTTGGGCAGCCTCCACGACATGGCGGCAGCCGCGCTCCCGCCGAACCCGCTGCGCACCGCCCCGGTCGTCCACCCGCGCGCCAGACCCCAGCGGGCAACCACCAATCCCGGCCGGAGGCCTCCCAGGTGCTGGCCAATGAGGACACGGCGGAGGGGCGGGGACGCCTCTGTCCCGCCCCCGCCACCTCAGGCCGCCCTGCCAGCCGCGAGGGGCGGCGCTGCAGTAACCCGTTCGCAGCGGTGGAAAACACCTGCAATTAACCTAAGTTATAGGCAAGAAAACGTTGATGAGTTTACAAAGACGGCAAGAGAATGATAAAGGATGCAAAGGGGAAGGCATGAGGTTGTCAGAATGCGATTTCTGAAAGTGTTATAATAAAAGTCTGCTTCAGAAAGTAGCACCTCTAATACATAGATACTTCAATGGTTCTCAGCAACGTACCGTGTGCTTTTTTTAGTGTATGAACTCATTAACCATTGCCCGGGCCGGTGATAGTCACAAACATTTATGTCCCTGCAGAATACAGCCTTTCAAAAAATATTTTCATGTCACTTGAGTGAAATCACTCCGTAGTTCTACAGCTTCTCTCAAAAACTAAACAAATGAGCCGTCATTTAAGTCAAATAGATACTTGGTCCAACCAGCAACGCATAAGGAAAATAGAATTTTTCTTCTTCATTGACCTACTGTCAAAAAATCCCCAACAAAAACCACCAAGTTTTAAAAGCTTCCTTTGCTAAAAACTGAATACTTTCACCCACCATTACAGGATGCCGTTCCATTCCATTAAATAATTGAAAATAAATACTTCCACAAAGTCACTGAGGCAGCCACTGCTGTCCATTGGAATAAATGTTTTGTCAAAAAGGGGTCTGTGCAGCAGTCTTGGATAAACCTGTATAGTAGATGAAGGAAAATTACTCAGTTTTATCTAAAGATGCAGGTTAATGTAAAAAAAAAACAACCCAAAACACAAAACAACAAACCAAAAAACCACAAACAACAACAAAAAGAAACCAAATCCCAGCTTTTTCATTACTTACCCTTAAAACTTTGCCAACAAATTTTGTATAGGTTGTAAATTACTGAAAGCCTCATATAAAAAAAAAAAAATGTGTATAGGTTGTGTTGGAACTACTGTATCTCATAGAAATATTACTCTAGCATCAATCTTAAAAAAAAATTAAAAATCCCATCAACAAAACACATATTGAGTTTTGTAGTTTCTTTTGAAAGGTTTTATTTTCTCCTAGAACCACAGATAACTTGCTTGTATTTTACAGACACACAGAACTTAAGTATCCCCAATAACCTGAAACCCAGCCTTATAGACCCCTGAAACAGAGAACATCTTTTGCTCAGCAATGTCTTTTTAAAATACAGAGCAAGGATACAATTTACAGGAGTACAATGTGAAAACCTAGACATTTATAACAGGGAATTTATTTTCCCATTCCAACTTTCAGGCAGCTCTCTCAAGTTTTTTCTTCAACTTCCATTCACTGTCATAAAGATAATGATCTAGATTGAATATTTCTATTGTGCAAGGCTATGCCTAAGTTAAAGAAAAAAAAAGCAAGGACTATTTGATTGTAACACCTTCCTGTCCAACCTTGACTAGAAGTAGGTTAAAATAAATGAAGACTTCTAGTTAGGTTTCTGTGAGATTTCCATGAGATTTCCTTTGGCCTGTTAGGCATAACTAACGCTACAAAAAAATTATCTCCTCTGCTGCTAGTTAAAAATTTCACAGAGCGTTTGCCACGGTTCATTCACCAACCTTCACTCCAGCCTCATGTACCCACCCAGCAAAAACCTCCAGGCAGAAATACCCCACAGGGAGCATGACAGGAAATATGCCGGCCAATTAAAGATAAGTGCGATTTAAAAGGAAAGGGAGAAAAAGGGAAGGAAAGGAAAGGAATGTCGTCCCTTTCCGTGGCACGGCCACTACCCCAGGACACAGCCAAGTGTGCTCACTGCAGCTCTGGACACCCCACTTTGCTCGCCCAACAGCCGGCTCCCTGACACACTCAGCCCTCGCCCGGTCTCCACAACGGCCCTGAGCCAGTGCCTCGCAACCGTCCCCTGGCGGGGCGGCACACGGCCCCGGCCCTGGTCCCGGTCCCGGCCCAGCGAAGGCCGCCTCCCGACCTCACCTCAGGGCCCGCGGCTGAGGCGCGCGCCCGCCCGCTCAGAGCCCCGGCCACAATCCGGCTCGCGCGCCGTCGGGATAGCAAATGGCAATCATCGCCCCACGTGGGGGACAAGGGCGCCCTCAGCTAATCAGGGGTCTCCTCTCGCCTCGGGACCGCCCCGGGTTACAGCCAATGGGGAGGCAGCACACGAGCGCGAGGAGCTGGAGGCCGTTGAACCTTGACAGTTGGCGCAGTTCGACGGGCGGCGGCGGCGGAGGCGGCGGAGAAGGCGCGGCGGGCCGGACCAACTGGGCTTAGCGCGGCGTCATGGTGGGGAGCGGGCCCCGCGGCTGGGGAGGGAAAGGAGAAAACGGAAAGGAAAAGGGACGGGAAGGGCCGGGCGTTTGAGAGTGCGGCGGCGGCAGTCTGAGGGGGCTGTAGCTGCGCGTGCTGCGGACGGGCTTGGAGGCAGTTCTCCCCGCGGTAGCAGTGCGGCAAAAGGATCGGGGAGAAGTTAGTTTGTTATTATTACATTAATAATATTAATATTAGCGAGTTAATAGTTCAAGGCGGGGGGGGAGGCACAGAAGCTGGCCGGCGATTAGCGATACGAAAAGGTAAGAGGTCCGTTCCCGGCGGGGACCGCGGGGCTGAGGCCCGAGGCGGGCGGCAGGGAGGGCGGGAAAGCGTAGCCAATTAGCGGAGAGGAGCCTGGGCGGCAGCCAACGGCTGGGGCGGGACACGCTGGAGGGGGGCGGGGCTGGCGGTGGTTGGTAGACATCGCGCGCGCGGCGGTGAGGGGCGGGGCTGAGGCGGGAGCGGGGATGGACCCGCTGGCGAAAGGCTCCCGAGGCGCCGCTGCGCGGGGGGAGGTTTAAAACGTAGGATCGAGGATACAAGCTTTGATTAAGCTGTCAAGAAACACGACAGAGCAGACCAGACACCCTGCTTTCTCTTTTCCATCTCTGCTTTTTTCTAGATAAACTGTAACAGCTAGGAAAACAGTGTATTTCTGTCGAAGTATAGGACAAAATTGAGATATTGAGAGATCAAACATTCATGGTGCAGTTGCTTAGAATCAAAGGAGCTGCCTAAACGTGGGCAGATGACATCTGATTGAGTCTCAGCTGATTTCAAAGAGGAACATAAATATGTATGAATTGCCAGGGGCTAGATATCTCTCTATGATTATAAAATAAAACATATCAAGTGGTCCAGTACAGAAAAGATTCTTGCAGTGGTTACCCAGTATACTATTTAGCAATAAATCAAGGCAATACTATATAAAGAAGCCTTCCAAAACTAAAGGGAGGTGAAACAGAGACCAGGCAGAATGTTAAAGATATAATATATATGTGGCATGGTAAGGAATGATGAATCTGTATTTACCATATGTGTTTGTAGAGACTATGTGGTCTTTAAGATCTTCCAATATTCTCAAAGTCAGTTCAGGTCAACTAAGATGAGTAGAGTCATGCCAGCAGCAGACGATTTGATCAGTTAAATTCTCATTCAGGAGCAGACAGGGAATCACAGAATCACAGGATGGTTTGCGTTGGAAGGGACCTTAAAGATCATCTCAATGCAACACTCCTGTCATGGCCAGGGACACCTCCAACTAAACTAATACAGCAGCTTAGAAAGATCATGCAAAGATACGACCCACAGGTAGCTAGTTATGAGAATAAAATCTAGAAGACGGGTAGCCCCATATCTCATTATTATTGTTCTGTTTTTAATTTGCAGCGTGAATGCATATCCATCCACGTTGGTCAGGCTGGTGTTCAGATTGGCAATGCATGTTGGGAATTGTATTGTCTTGAACATGGGATCCAGCCTGATGGTCAAATGCCAGAGGATAAAACTGCGGGACCTGGAGATGATTCATTTAACACTTTCTTCAGTGAGACAGGAGCTGGTAAACATGTTCCCAGAGCCGTGTTTGTGGACCTTGAGCCAACTGTAGTTGGTATGTACCCAAAAGTAAAGATCTTAAGTGTAAAAGTGAAGATCCCCTACAGATTCCCTGCAGTCTTTTCTGTTTGCTCAGAATGCTGTAGATTGTAAAAGATGTGTGTCTGGGTGTTTTTTTGACATTTGAGGTTATTATTTGGAAGAAATGAAATAATAGTCTACAGGTAACATCATCTGAAAAAGAACAGAACTTTTTTACAGCTTGGATAATCTTTCTAGACTGCTGCACTGTATCCAGGGTTTTGTTTAATTGCTATCCAGAATCTTGTCTGTACTTTTTTGAGTGACCTCTGTGTTCTCGGGTGCAAATCCTGCTTTGTTAGTGCCTGATGTTTTCCCCTAAGCAAAAGGGCTGAAGTTGTGCCAACTTTATAGGCCAGTCAGACAAGCTGTATTTAGCCAGGGATGCTGTCTGCACTCTTTTGAGATGCACATTTAGTGTGTAATCACTAGGCAGCACACACAGAAATGAACAGATCAAATTTATGTTGTGGTATTTTGTTTCTTTGTAGATGAAGTGCGTACAGGCACATATAGGCAGTTATTCCATCCTGAGCAGCTCATTACTGGGAAAGAGGATGCAGCCAATAATTATGCCAGAGGCCATTATACTATTGGAAAAGAGATTGTTGATCTAGTGCTAGACCGCATTCGCAAACTGGTAAGAATTCATGCTGCAGGTCAGTAATTGATACAGCTGTGTAGCTATCTATAATGATGGCTTGCTGTGTTTTTCCCTAAGAATTTTGCGCAAAGTTGATTGTTTAAAACAAAACAAAACTACTAGCTCCTTGCTCCACCCCCCCAGTTAAATAAAAATGCAGTCAGTAAAACTTAAAATTTTTAGGCTCTGAAATACTTTTATACTTTTTTTTTGTTATTTTCAGTTTGAATCATGCCATTATATGTCATGCAAAATATTTCTAGTACCCTGAACCTCAGGTTTAGGTTGAACACTTAGCAATTTTAATTACTTTTCTAGTTTTTTATCTTGACATTGCGTTGTGAGAAACTCCTGTAGGATGGTATGATTCAATAGTGATTGTCTAGTTAAAATTACAAAAATTTTAAAAAACCCTTGGTTTTCAACATCTAATGATACTTGCTGAAAGCTAGAATGGAAACATAAACAGATTCTAAAGCTGCAACTCAGCTGTAATTTATAATCATTTGCCACAGTGATGCACAGCTGGTCTCCTTAGAGTAGGATTAAAATGGCATCAAAGACAATAAGCAACTTTTAAATATTAAAATATTCAGAAAGGTTTACGAGGAAGCACTGGTACTTTTGAGTAAAAGACGCAAGAAAAGAGGATGACCCCCTTCCAAAAATGCTGGGTTTTTTTATTCTAACAATTTAAAACTAAGAAACGTAAAAGAAATTATTATTTTAATACTGCTTTATCCAAAATCATCAGTAACTTTTTTTTTCTCCCTTTTTTTTTTCCCCCACCCCATTATAGGCCGATCTGTGTACAGGGCTGCAAGGTTTCCTTATCTTTCATAGTTTTGGAGGAGGCACTGGTTCAGGGTTTGCATCTCTGCTCATGGAAAGGCTCTCTGTTGATTATGGAAAAAAATCTAAACTAGAGTTTGCGATCTATCCAGCACCACAAGTTTCCACGGCTGTGGTGGAACCTTACAACTCAATCCTAACTACCCACACAACATTAGAGCATTCAGACTGCGCCTTCATGGTAGATAATGAAGCCATTTACGATATATGTCGTCGTAACCTTGACATTGAACGTCCCACTTACACCAATTTAAACCGATTAATTGGGCAAATTGTTTCATCCATCACAGCTTCACTGCGTTTTGATGGAGCCCTTAACGTAGATCTGACAGAATTTCAAACTAACCTTGTTCCATACCCACGCATCCACTTCCCCCTGGTAACATACGCCCCTGTCATCTCGGCTGAAAAAGCCTATCACGAGCAGTTATCTGTGGCCGAGATCACCAACGCTTGCTTTGAACCTGCCAACCAGATGGTAAAATGCGACCCTCGCCACGGCAAATACATGGCCTGCTGTATGTTATATAGAGGTGATGTTGTTCCCAAAGACGTCAATGCCGCCATCGCTACTATCAAGACTAAACGTACAATTCAATTTGTGGACTGGTGCCCAACTGGATTCAAGGTACGTACAGAGCGCTTTAAGAGCCCGATGTTTGAATTGTTAGGAATTATATAGTGTTCAGTGGTAACAGTCATTCTAACTGCAAGCTATTTTATTTCTTCATAATCATAGTGATTTTTAAGCGTTAACAGAAATAAGTCTTTAAGCCTTAGCACTCATCAGGAAAATTTTCATTTGTTTTCTTGAAGGTGGGCATTAATTACCAGCCTCCAACTGTGGTGCCGGGCGGTGACCTCGCCAAGGTGCAGCGGGCTGTCTGCATGCTGAGTAACACAACTGCTATTGCTGAAGCATGGGCTCGCCTCGATCACAAATTTGATCTCATGTATGCTAAGCGTGCCTTCGTACACTGGTATGTTGGGGAAGGAATGGAGGAAGGAGAATTTTCTGAAGCCCGGGAAGATCTGGCTGCCCTTGAAAAAGACTACGAAGAAGTCGGCATAGATTCAGTGGAAACAGAGGCTGAAGAAGCAGATGAGTATTTAGAAAACTGAGGTCTGTGAAAACTTACTAAAAAAAAAAAAGAAAAGAATTGCAGAACCCTGTTCACTTGTTCAATTGTTTTCAAATAAAGTTTTAAAGGTTCTACCTTCTGGGTTTTTCTTTGTGTATGTACTCATTAAGGACAGACCGTTTTAGGTTGCAGGTTTTGGTAGCATCTAGTCATGTGTAAATTATAGAAGAAATCAGGACATTGTGTGCACTTTCCTGTGATCACAACAAGGACACCGTTACTATTCCAAGTCTGACTATACAAGACAAAGGAACCTAAAGCCACATTCCCTGTAAGGCTGGTTTTGCAGAATATTTGCATTTAAATCCCCAGAATTTGTTAACCCAAATAATACTGTACTGAAGTAATTTACCTAACTATGGCAGATGCCAGTGCACTTTTGAATAGAGCTACTCCTTACTACCAAATTACTTGCTAATGACATCAAACTTGTTACTTTAAAAAGGGGAGGGAGAGGGGGCAGAGGATGACATTATGTGGAGGAAAAAGTAAAATTTTCCAACCAACGCAGTCCCCTGCATTTGATTCAGATAAAAGGAAGATAAAAGAGCAGATCTGTTACCTGCTTTAAAAGGGCATTGCCGTTTTTACATTCCTACGTTAGCCTAGTAAACAAAAATGCTAATGTTTTAACAGTATGTTCAAGTGAATGTGGCTTTATAGGAACAGTTAAATCACAGGACACAGTTCAGGCAAAAGCTGCTGACCCACTAGTTTAAGGGTGGTTTTTTTAGTCCTGAATAGGAGAAAAACCCTTAGGGTTTTGTTGTGGGGTTTGGCAGGTTTGGCTTTGTTTTTTCCCTTCCCTACACGTTCTGCAAAACCAGGAGGGAGAAAAAGGGCTCCCTGGGCTAAAGACACCCCAGAAGCGAACCATTTTCAGAAGTCCTTGTAACGGCTGCCCGCAGAGCACACCGGGTTAGCACAACCTACGGACTTGTAAAGAAAATGCCTGTATTTAGATACAAACCCGCCGCTTTTGTTGCACCCAGCAGACGGAAAGCCCCAGCCGCCGGGGACTGCTCCGGCCCCGCCCGCACCGCGGCGAGGGCCGGGCCCGAGGGCGGCCCTGGCCGGGAGGCGGGCACGGGGCGGGGGTGGCGGCCGGGTCTGTGGTGCCGTGCGGGGAGCATGGTGCGGCTTTACAACCTGCACCCCTTCGGGTCCCAGCGAGTGGTGCCCTGCGAGCGGGAACCCGCCCGCTTCTGCTGCGGCCGCGATGTCCTCTTCGTGGCCG